ACTTGACCTGGACCAAGTAACAACTAAGATGATAAAAATGTCAAATGGGTGAAAGAACTGCATTAAGTACAATGATTTACTGTGTTTTTTAAATTCATTATCCAAAAATACAGACAGTGACAATATATGAAAAAAGTTTTTTTCATCACAGCCTGAAGAGGAATAAACCTGAGACTGAAGAAGAATAGACCTGAGAATAAGATGGGGTGCATCATAATCTAGTTGGGGGTAGCATCATAATTACAACTTATCCCTATAGGGGTGGAGGATCTATTAAAATGATCCCCCCCCCCCCCAAGGCTAATTGATGCTTGGAGATTTTAGGAAGATATCCTGTTGAAGCCCTGGTCAATCATTGGAATCACAATCTAGTCAGAGCTATTTCTCCCAAATGTTACTAAACAGGCTCCCTGGTATACAGAGTCTCTCAGGGAAATGAAACGGGAAGGACAACTACAGCACAGATAGCAGAAAACTAAATTTCTATGTGACAAGACATGATAGATGACCTCTTCACATGGCACATTTTTACCCCGTTTTGTCGCTTTTATGTGCAGCTTGGATGGTGCCTTCATGCACCATCACACAACGCATGTCAGACTCCACTTACATTTCTCCCAAAGTGGGGTGGAAGCGCCAAAAGGTGCTTCCTCTACCACTACAGGAAGGAAAGTATAGTTTGGGTAGCTCCAATGGAGCTACTTGCACATTCCTCCCCTTTTTGGCCATGTGATGACAGAAAGGGCAGGAGGGCAACATGTATTGCCACCCTTTCTGCCATTTGATGGGGAGAGGGAAAGGGTGCCAACACACCCTGCCTTGTCCCCACTGTGAGATGAAGGGAGGAGGACGTGAGGCTTTAGAGGCGCAACTGCACAGCCGGAAAGGGCGACATGAAGAGGACCTCTTCGTTCTTATAAGGTAGCAATTCATGCAGTGAAGAAAGCTTTCTTTTCTGCATGTATTGTGTCTGCAAATTCAGCTGAGCTATTTAGAGTGGTGAGAGTTTAATCCAGGTACCCACCCCTCTGAATTTATTTATTTAGAACTTTTATATACCGGTCTTCTTGACTTCCGCAGAGGGACTCAGGCCGGTTCACAACCAAAGATTCATAAACAATAGTTTAAAATATCACATCACATAATGCACTAATACATAAAATACATTAAAATACAATCATATAATTACATAAGGCCAAGTCATCAGAATGAATCCACTGCTAGAACTGTCAGTAGCAGATTGTGATGACTTTAATAATCATTATACAGATAAAATCTCTCACATAAAAGCGAGCTTAGAAAACATCATTGAATGATGTCAATGAGTGCTTTATGCCTTTATACTTTTAACCGTGGGGCCCCTTGCCCTGTGTGGTTATGGCCATAGGGAGATGACACTTCAGAGTTGGCTTTCCTAAAATATTTCTTCCTTCTTCCTAGGCTTGTTTGATTTAAAAAATGGTTCAAACCTCATTTCGGTTGTAGGAGGTGCTGGTGGTTCGATTCTAAAGTCAATTCCTATTTTCACAGAAAAAAATGTTCAAAACTTTTTGAAACTTCCGAGACTTCCCAATCAATAGTTTGAAAGTGTTATTTCCTGTTTCGTTGTATGGTCTTTACTTTGAAAGTAGTTGTTTTACTCCAGGAGCGGGGAAAGCAAAGGGAGGAAATTCAGTCTTCCCTGGTTTAAAACTGGCTTCTCTGGCTTGAGGCAGAAGCGGGGAAAGCAAAGAGAGGAAATTCAGTCTTCCCTGGTTTAAAACTGGCTTCTCTGGTTTGAGGCAGAAGCGGGGAAAGCAAAGAGAGGAAATTCAGTCTTCCCTGGTTTAAAACTGGTTTCTCTGGCTTGAGGCAGAAGCGGGGAAAGCAAAAAGAGGAAATTCAGCCTTCCCTGGTTTAAAACTGGCTTCTCTGGCTTGAGGCAGAAGCGGGGAAAGCAAAGGGAGGAAATTCAGCCTTCCCTGGTTTAAAACTGGCTTCTCTGGCTTGAGTGAAGGCCAGGGACCAGAATCATTTCTGACTCACTTCCTGAGTCGGAAGAAAAATGGCGAGACTAGCTTCAGAAGGGCAAAGGGACTTCCGGTTTCCTAAAAATGTTAAAAATCACTTCAAAATGTAATTTTTCTGAATTTATTCCAAATTATGAAGATTCCGACTGGACTTAACCATGCCTACTTCTTCCTCTTCCTTTTAACCTTCCTCCTCCTTCTCCACGTATTCTTTTCTCTCTCTCTCTGTATATCATCATTCGGCCCATCACCCTCCTAATATCTTCACTGACTATTCCTCCTTCTATTTCCTCTCTCCTCCATCTTGCCAAGTTCAAGCACCATCCCTCCCTTTGCTCCAGATCCCTATTTATAAACTTGCCTCCCTACTCTACCCTTCTCCCTGAATTTCTTTCTTGCCTCCTTGCTTATACCTCCTTTGCCAGTACTTGTTTCTTTCACCAGCAACCAACAGAATTATATCTTGAATTATAAATTAAATTTATAGAGGATAGTGTCATTAACCCCCTAACTCTTTCTCTGCGACTTCTGCCATGCACCTCACCTGTTCTTTAATCTATCCCTCTCTCTCTATATATATATATATATTTAAAAAGTCTCTCTACAAGATCATTTATTTTAGCAAAACCCTCCTTAAATCAAGAAATTCTAAAATCCAAAAACAAGTGATACACCCTTTGTTGTTGTTGTTCATTCGTTCAGTCGCCTCCGACTCTTCGTGACCTCATGGACCAGCCCATGCCAGAGCTCCCTGTCGGCCATCACCACCTCCAGTTCCTTCAAGGTCAGTCCAGTCACTTCAAGGATGCCATCCATTCATCTTGCCCTTGGTCGGCCCCTCTTCCTTTTTCCTTCTACTTTCCCCAGCATAATTGTCTTCTCTAGGCTTTCCTGTCTCCTCATGATGTGGCCAAAGTACTTCAACTTTGTCTCTAGTATCCTTCCCTCCAATGAGCAGTCGGGCTTTATTTCCTGGAGGATGGACTGGTTGGATCTTCTCGCAGTCCAAGGCACTCTCAGAACTTTCCTCCAACACCACAGCTCAAAAGCATCTATCTTCCTTCGCTCAGCCTTCCCTAAGGTCCAGCTCTCACATCCGTAGGTTACTACAGGGAATACCATGGCTTTGACTATGCGGATCTTTGTTGCCAGTGTGATGTCTCTACTCTTTACTATTTTATTGAGACTGGACATTGCTCTCCTCCCAAGAAGTAAGTGTCTTCTGATTTCCTGGCCAATAAAAATACAAAAAAAACCCTATACCATGCAAGCTTTCAAAACTTTACTGCCCTCTTCAATAGGCAAAGACATTTAAAATGATACAGGAGAAGGTAAATGGCAATATCAGAGTCACAGGTCAACGTTTTGTCTCAGATGCATTGCCCTGCATGGCCAATACTACTTCCCGCAAATATGTTTACTCCTTAAATCAGCCAGACTTCACCCTTTTTCATCCACAATCATTTGTGCTCCAATTTAAACTTTTACACCTATGAGGTGTTTATTCTGGTGTGTCCTCCTGGGAAAGGTAACAGGTACTTTGAGCAGACACATTGAAAACAATAGGATGAAAGCTAAGACCAATTTAAGTCTCAGTTGATTTTAATTGGTCTATTGTAAACATGACTGTGTTTGGAATCTGCTCAATATGTTAAGAGAAGTGAGGTGACAGCTTTACAAATCTGCTATTTTTGGCCACAACCCCATCTTGAGTTAAATAAACATCTACTTCTATCTACATGGGAAATAAGAGGGGTTTTTTCTTAGTGCATGTGGAGGAAAATGGCAAAAACTTTAAATATGTTTACAGTCAAAGTATAATAAAAACTTGAGGTACTGCTCCTCTTCCCTCTCTCTCTCACATACACACGTGTTTATTCAAACCAAAATTTCCAATATCACATCTATTTCCTTATCCTTTATTACTTTAAACACGCACCTAAATGCAAATAACCACTTTTTCCTGTTTACTTAAAATAATTACAAGGAGGTTTCTCAGAAAATGTGATTTTCAGGAAAAGAACAAACTGATCTGAAGTTTTCCCATTTCTTTTAACACAGGAAATGCAGTGGTTTTCATTGTTAAATGATTTTATAGTAATAAAATTTGGGAGCTGTTATTTTTGATGGGTTTCTAACAATTAGGGAGCTGGGAGTGGGATTGGAGGGGGAATTAATACTCAAATAAGTCCTGAGCTGCTGAAAATATCTTTTAGAAATGTTAAATTTAATGACTCTCTAGTGCATGTCTGGGATTTCTCTGTAATCTTGTTGAGCAATGTGTAACATCCTGGCAACAATCCAAACAGGCTCTTTTAACCAGTGGTAAATCAATGAATCCCTATAAAACTAATTTGCTGTCTTAACTATTATTGTTTATTTTACGAAATGTTAAAGGTAAGGCAAACCTGCTTTATTTTAACTTCATCTTGTTTCTACTTCCCAAACATGTTACCCAGATTTGCTGCGTTTCCGCAATTGCTTATACCTGATCTAACCAATTACTTTACATGTGTGGACCAGCTGTGAAATAGGGAAGAGACAGAGGATGAAAGGTGAGAGAAGAGAAAATAAACCAGAATTCTAGAGCCTGGAAAGCAAACATTTCCCAGTCCACCCCCTTGAACTAGTTAATTCTGTAGATAAAATTAGATGCTCAGGGAAGACATTTAAATTACACAGGAGCATACACTAAACATCAACTCAGAGATTAAATCCATTCAACATCCCCAAACCCTTTGGCAGGTCAAGACAGCGCTGATTTAGAACTGCACTCGACAAGGTTTCTCATTTTTAGTTTTCTCCATGGTTCACAGCTTCAGAGATTTGAGCATCAGGGCAGTAGCCTTCAGAAGACATTCTACTGCAGTAAAATGATATTCTCAATTTAACAGATTAGGAGGCTGACACTTTAGACTGATCAAATAAAACACTGTCTTTGGAATGAAAGACTTTTCTCTCTTCCTCTCCTAACGGCCTGAATTTATTTATTTTTATTACCCCATTCAGCCCCTATAGAGAACCTGTAGGTTATTTATATTAAAATAAGACATGTACCCATCTGAACATTGG